AAATTTTATACTTTAGATGTTTTCGTTCCTTCAGGTTGAAATTTAAATTAATGATTGAAATAGGCGTGCGAGGTTAGTTGTTTAATTTTATTGTCAAAAGTGACATTTGGTCAATTCCAGTTAATTCTGTTATTTGGAAGAGGTGCTAAATAACTCTTAAGCTGTGATTAATTAATTAATTTTATTTGCTAGCAAAATGGTTGTTAAAGTGTACATTAGTGGAATAAGCGGCAATAAAGAGGTTGGTATAAATTTTATTACTTTCATACAATTTAAATCAAATGATGCTTCAATAGTTCAGCTACCTGTTCACATTGTAGGTGAAAAAAAGACAACAACGAGTACTTATGATTCTTGATTCGAAAAATATTAAATATGAAGTGGTAGATATTGCGGAACCAGGAAACGAAGAAGCCAAGGAGTTCATGCAGAATAATTCTAAATCATTGGGTGCAACAATTGGTGATGCTAACCCTAAACATGCTCTTCCACCTCAAGTATTTAATGATGAAGAATATTGTGGTGTAAGTAAAAATTCTTAATAAAATGTCTATTTTTGATTGATGGCTTTTAACTTTAGTATTAGTAAACTATGAAGCTTAACAATAGATACACAGTAAACATACGTTCTGTTATGGTCATATATTAAAATAATGACTAATTATTGCTATGAATATTATTTTTAGGACTATGACTTGTTTGACTTAGCAAATGAAGTAGATGAAGTTGAAAAGTTTTTAAAACTTGAACCTTCTGATACAGTGATCACTTCAAATGCAGAAATTAAATTGGAAAATGGAGAAATTCCTGTAGAGAGCATACAAGACAATTTTGATAAATTAAACGGCAAACATAAGGAACTAGATTCAAATGAAGAAAATAAAGAAACTGCAGATGAGGGAGTAACGGATTCCCAGGATAATAAGGAGGAATCTGAAGAACAAGAGAAAAGTGAAGAGAATGAAGAGTTAAAAAAGTCTGAAGAAAATGCTATAGAAAATAGCAGTCCTGAAGCTGAAGATGCATAATTACTTCTCAGAACAATTTTCCTTTAAGTCTTAAACAAAAGTATTACCCATACTTATCAGATTAATCTGCTTTAATTTCTTTGCAATCGTTTTTTTTTTTAAGGATATCTTCAATTATATTTTTCATGATGAAAATTAAATACATTAAATTGTAAATAAATATCTCGACATCTTTATCAAAATACATTAACTGTTAAATTAAAAGTTATTTGTCTAGAGTCTGATTTTTACTGTAACTTAAAGTTTTTACTTACTAATTTGCATGTAATGTTGTTAACACATAATATAATATTTTTGAGACTGTAACTAATAATTAAATCGCTTTTTTACTTTTAATTGAGTGGGTTGTTTTATTAATTTTAATTATAATAGCTATATTATTTTCTAACGAAACGCGTTAGACACGTTACGTGATTTTTAATATATATCTAGCAGTATTGTATTGTTTATTTTAAAATCTGTTTAACAAATTATACAATTAAACAATAGAGTATTTTTTAACTTTAAATTTTATAGTTTATCATTTTTGTTGTGATTGAAGCAGACCTTTATTTCCTTTTAGTTGCAAATAGTTGTTATTGCATTCAAAATGATTAACAAAAGCTTTAAGTATTTTTTTCATGATAATTTAAAAAAAAATTACGTTTTTTGAATACACAATTAAAGCACCTTAAAATCGAAATATGTTGATATGAATTTATTGCGACAAGAATGGGCAATAGGTATTATTCTAAATAATTTAATTTTATGGTTTAACATAATTTTTTTGAATTTGTAAATGCAGCCATAAGTTCATTTGTAATTACATGATAGATGACTAGATGGCAGATCAGATCTTGGATGAAGGAAGACTTAACCTTATTTTTTAACCTTCAAAATAATATATGAAAATAATTTTCAAAAATAGCTAGCTTGGAAATGGCTAGCATATTATTTAAAAGTTTTAATTATAAATTAACAAATTATTCGATTAGATTATCATGTATACGTAGAAATTATAGTGTATTAAGTGATAAATATGACTGTCGTTGCAAGTTTAAATCAAGAATTACTACTCAATTTGACGTTCAAAAAGTACGTACCTACAAAAAGGAGATTAAATATAATTATTATACAAAAAATAATTATTGTAGTCAACTACAGCGTCCAATGTAGATAAAAAACCAAAAGATGCTGTGCTACCTAATGTATTAGTTAAGAAAGTTACAAATCCATTTACTTCTAAAGCTCAGCCCAGTCGAGGATGCTTTCATCCAGGAGCTTCTTTCATATCACGAGAAAATATACCAATGAATGAAAAAGAACAGATCACTGGCCGAGACATGATAAGAGCTATGCTTACATATATTTGGCCAGCAGAGGATAAGAGTATAAGGCAAAGAGTACTAGTAGCTGTGGGACTACTAATAAGTGCCAAAATGGTTAATATAGCAGTGCCATTTATTTTTAAATATGCAGTGGATTACTTAAATGTTTCACACACTTTAAATATGGATACAGCTCCAGAAACGATAGCTACTGTAGCAACATCATTATTGCTTGGATGTAATTGACAATGTTATTTTTATTTTAATTTGAAATTAAGTAAAGTAGTAAGTTAATGTATTGATGGTGACATACTGCCTTCTTTTATTTTAATTTATTTCATACATATTTGATAGATCCAACAAAACTCTGACCAAACAAATTTTATTTGTATTGTACATTATATATTTTTATTATATTGTTTCAGATGGTGTAGCTCGTGCAGGAGCAGCAGGATTTAACGAATTAAGAAATGCTGTATTTGCAAAAGTGGCTCAACACTCGATTAGAAAAATTGCAAAGAATGTTTTCCTTCATTTACATAAATTAGATTTATCATTTCATTTAAGTAGACAAACAGGAGCACTTTCCAAAACAATTGACCGGGGCTCCAGAGGAATTAATTTTGTCTTGTCAGCAATGGTTTTTAATATTGTGCCAACAGTGTTTGAATTAACCCTTGTGTCCACAATTTTAGCTGTAAAGTGTGGACCAGCATTTGCAGGTAATTAAGATAAGTATTTTTCAGGAGCTAGCTAAGTAGTGGAATGTTGGTTGAAATTGCCTTGTTTTCTATCTAATTAGTTGTTTTCTAAACTGCCAGTTTTATAAAATGACCACCTATTATGTAATACCTTCTTTTAGGTATTTCCCTTGGTTGTGTGGCATTTTATACAATGTTTACGTTGCTGGTGACACAGTGGCGCACTAAATTTCGAGTGTATATGAATAAAGCTGAAAATGAAGCTGGAAATAAAGCAATTGATTCTCTAATTAATTATGAAACTGTAAAAGTAATAAGAATTTAATATAAATTATGATAATGCATATTTATATTGTATTAATGCCTTTTTAGTATTTTAACAACGAAAAATACGAGGCCGAAAAATACGATGTTTCGTTGAAAAAATATGAAGAAGCTAGTCTGAAAACTAGTACAAGTTTGGCTTTGCTTAATTTCGGGCAAAATGCTATATTCAGTGCAGCTCTCAGTGCNAAGCTTGGGCACAAACATCACTATGAACTCCCTCTAAATTTGGATTCCCTTTTTTAAGGGATTCTAACCAATCCATAATTGCAATCAAAAGTTTTGTTACTTCAGGAGGCTTCGTTTTTCCTTCCATTATTTTCATTGCTGTTTGACAAGCATACATTCGTGCTGTGAAGGATTAATATTATTGTAAAAATAAGTTAAGCAGTTACAATAATATAAAAAAACTAATTACTCTTACCCCAGTAACTAACGACAGGATCTCGCTCGTCATGTTCCTCAGCAACTTTCATATAATGAGCAATTCCTTTTATTTCTGAAGGAACGGATGGAAACGAAGGCATTTTGTTTAGTATTACTTATTATCTTATTTTATTTGCTGTTAGAAACTATAACATCACGGGCAAAAATACAAATATTAAATTTGACTTTTGCAAATGAAACGAACTAAAACGTCATTTAATGTAGACATGAGAGTAGGTTAGGTCATTTAATATAGCTAATAGATAGTATCACCAATATAAGAAAACAAAATTTTATTAACTTTTAAAATTTGATTTAATACTTTATTACTCTTAAAAGCCTTAAAAGAAGTATATATTGCATATTATAACTTAAATCGAAAAATAATGAAAATAAGTTAATAGATGTAAAACCGTTTTCAAATTTTATACTTTAGATGTTTTCGTTCCTTCAGGTTGAAATTTAAATTAATGATTGAAATAGGCGTGCGAGGTTAGTTGTTTAATTTTATTGTCAAAAGTGACATTTGGTCAATTCCAGTTAATTCTGTTATTTGGAAGAGGTGCTAAATAACTCTTAAGCTGTGATTAATTAATTAATTTTATTTGCTAGCAAAATGGTTGTTAAAGTGTACATTAGTGGAATAAGCGGCAATAAAGAGGTTGGTATAAATTTTATTACTTTCATACAATTTAAATCAAATGATGCTTCAATAGTTCAGCTACCTGTTCACATTGTAGGTGAAAAAAAGACAACAACGAGTACTTATGATTCTTGATTCGAAAAATATTAAATATGAAGTGGTAGATATTGCGGAACCAGGAAACGAAGAAGCCAAGGAGTTCATGCAGAATAATTCTAAATCATTGGGTGCAACAATTGGTGATGCTAACCCTAAACATGCTCTTCCACCTCAAGTATTTAATGATGAAGAATATTGTGGTGTAAGTAAAAATTCTTAATAAAATGTCTATTTTTGATTGATGGCTTTTAACTTTAGTATTAGTAAACTATGAAGCTTAACAATAGATACACAGTAAACATACGTTCTGTTATGGTCATATATTAAAATAATGACTAATTATTGCTATGAATATTATTTTTAGGACTATGACTTGTTTGACTTAGCAAATGAAGTAGATGAAGTTGAAAAGTTTTTAAAACTTGAACCTTCTGATACAGTGATCACTTCAAATGCAGAAATTAAATTGGAAAATGGAGAAATTCCTGTAGAGAGCATACAAGACAATTTTGATAAATTAAACGGCAAACATAAGGAACTAGATTCAAATGAAGAAAATAAAGAAACTGCAGATGAGGGAGTAACGGATTCCCAGGATAATAAGGAGGAATCTGAAGAACAAGAGAAAAGTGAAGAGAATGAAGAGTTAAAAAAGTCTGAAGAAAATGCTATAGAAAATAGCAGTCCTGAAGCTGAAGATGCATAATTACTTCTCAGAACAATTTTCCTTTAAGTCTTAAACAAAAGTATTACCCATACTTATCAGATTAATCTGCTTTAATTTCTTTGCAATCGTTTTTTTTTTTAAGGATATCTTCAATTATATTTTTCATGATGAAAATTAAATACATTAAATTGTAAATAAATATCTCGACATCTTTATCAAAATACATTAACTGTTAAATTAAAAGTTATTTGTCTAGAGTCTGATTTTTACTGTAACTTAAAGTTTTTACTTACTAATTTGCATGTAATGTTGTTAACACATAATATAATATTTTTGAGACTGTAACTAATAATTAAATCGCTTTTTTACTTTTAATTGGCCTTTTGTAGATTTNATTAAAGCACCTTAAAATCGAAATATGTTGATATGAATTTATTGCGACAAGAATGGGCAATAGGTATTATTCTAAATAATTTAATTTTATGGTTTAACATAATTTTTTTGAATTTGTAAATGCAGCCATAAGTTCATTTGTAATTACATGATAGATGACTAGATGGCAGATCAGATCTTGGATGAAGGAAGACTTAACCTTATTTTTTAACCTTCAAAATAATATATGAAAATAATTTTCAAAAATAGCTAGCTTGGAAATGGCTAGCATATTATTTAAAAGTTTTAATTATAAATTAACAAATTATTCGATTAGATTATCATGTATACGTAGAAATTATAGTGTATTAAGTGATAAATATGACTGTCGTTGCAAGTTTAAATCAAGAATTACTACTCAATTTGACGTTCAAAAAGTACGTACCTACAAAAAGGAGATTAAATATAATTATTATACAAAAAATAATTATTGTAGTCAACTACAGCGTCCAATGTAGATAAAAAACCAAAAGATGCTGTGCTACCTAATGTATTAGTTAAGAAAGTTACAAATCCATTTACTTCTAAAGCTCAGCCCAGTCGAGGATGCTTTCATCCAGGAGCTTCTTTCATATCACGAGAAAATATACCAATGAATGAAAAAGAACAGATCACTGGCCGAGACATGATAAGAGCTATGCTTACATATATTTGGCCAGCAGAGGATAAGAGTATAAGGCAAAGAGTACTAGTAGCTGTGGGACTACTAATAAGTGCCAAAATGGTTAATATAGCAGTGCCATTTATTTTTAAATATGCAGTGGATTACTTAAATGTTTCACACACTTTAAATATGGATACAGCTCCAGAAACGATAGCTACTGTAGCAACATCATTATTGCTTGGATGTAATTGACAATGTTATTTTTATTTTAATTTGAAATTAAGTAAAGTAGTAAGTTAATGTATTGATGGTGACATACTGCCTTCTTTTATTTTAATTTATTTCATACATATTTGATAGATCCAACAAAACTCTGACCAAACAAATTTTATTTGTATTGTACATTATATATTTTTATTATATTGTTTCAGATGGTGTAGCTCGTGCAGGAGCAGCAGGATTTAACGAATTAAGAAATGCTGTATTTGCAAAAGTGGCTCAACACTCGATTAGAAAAATTGCAAAGAATGTTTTCCTTCATTTACATAAATTAGATTTATCATTTCATTTAAGTAGACAAACAGGAGCACTTTCCAAAACAATTGACCGGGGCTCCAGAGGAATTAATTTTGTCTTGTCAGCAATGGTTTTTAATATTGTGCCAACAGTGTTTGAATTAACCCTTGTGTCCACAATTTTAGCTGTAAAGTGTGGACCAGCATTTGCAGGTAATTAAGATAAGTATTTTTCAGGAGCTAGCTAAGTAGTGGAATGTTGGTTGAAATTGCCTTGTTTTCTATCTAATTAGTTGTTTTCTAAACTGCCAGTTTTATAAAATGACCACCTATTATGTAATACCTTCTTTTAGGTATTTCCCTTGGTTGTGTGGCATTTTATACAATGTTTACGTTGCTGGTGACACAGTGGCGCACTAAATTTCGAGTGTATATGAATAAAGCTGAAAATGAAGCTGGAAATAAAGCAATTGATTCTCTAATTAATTATGAAACTGTAAAAGTAATAAGAATTTAATATAAATTATGATAATGCATATTTATATTGTATTAATGCCTTTTTAGTATTTTAACAACGAAAAATACGAGGCCGAAAAATACGATGTTTCGTTGAAAAAATATGAAGAAGCTAGTCTGAAAACTAGTACAAGTTTGGCTTTGCTTAATTTCGGGCAAAATGCTATATTCAGTGCAGCTCTCAGTGCCATAATGGTCCTTGCAGCCAAAGATATTATTAATGGTAATCATTTTCTATTAATTTAATTAGTTTAAAAATATTTTAATTTTTGTTATTATGAAATAGGAAATATGACCGTTGGAGATTTGGTCATGGTAAATGGATTACTTTTTCAACTTTCAATCCCTCTCGGTTTTCTCGGTAGCGTTTACAGGGAAGTCCGACAGGCTTTAATTGACATGCAAACTATGTTCACATTAATGACAATGGACTCAAAAATAAAGGTATAGAAACTTATAAGCTGGTTATCTGTATTCATAAAGAAAGAACAGTTGACTGACTTATAAATCACCAACGCCGAACCTTAGCTATTGGAAATTTAGAGCAAATATTCTTTATTTATATATACATTGTTGGCAATTACTAAGAAATTGTTTTTTAAAATTGTTGGTCCTGAAAGAGTGAAACATAGATTCAACGTTCATATACAAAAAATAGGCAGATAAATCAAATTGTAGTTTAGTTATCTATTTAAGCTAATTTTAAAATGAGATTAACAGCTTTGAACTCTGCTTTGATATTGATGATATAATTTTATTTCTAGGCAAAAGATGATGCAGTTCATTTAATCCTAGATTCTACAAATGCGAGCATTTCTTTTGAAAACGTTTCATTTGATTATGGTCCTGGAAAAGAAATTCTTAAGGATCTTAACTTATTTATCCCAGCTGGGAAAAAGATTGCTATTGTAGGAGGATCGGGATCAGGGTATGTTTGTTTTTATATCACTAATTAAGGTTTTAAGTAGAACTAATTGCGTTCAAAATTAATTATTTTATATCATCTTATTTAGGAAGTCTACCCTCGTGAGACTTCTCTATCGTTTTTATGAACCGAAAGGTGGCAAAATATTCTTAAGTAATTACAATATTGACGAGTTGGACTTGGATTGTCTAAGGAAATCTATTTCCATCGTGCCACAGGACTCAGTCCTTTTTCACGACACGATCTTTTACAATTTGCACTATGGCAATTTGAAAGCTACTAAAGACCAAGTGATAGAGGCTGCTAAAATGGCTGAATTACACGATTCTATTGTAACGTGGCCGCATGGATACGATACTCAAGTGGGTGAAAGGGGCCTGAAGTTATCCGGGGGAGAGAAACAGAGGGTGGCCATTGCTCGGGCTATACTTAAGAATGCGCCTATTTTGATTTTTGACGAAGCTACCAGTTCCCTCGACAGTATCACAGAACAGGTAAGCTTTATTTTGAAATAAACTGTATATTTTTTCTATTTTAATCGAGTTTTTTGGTATAACACGGTCGAAGTAATCTGAAGAGTGGTTGAAAGTGCACTTTTACTGTTTCCTATTTTGAGCAAATCTTCGTATTTCCTGAAAACTTTATTATCCTAAGTTCATAATTGTTTGCAAACGGTAAATCTAATCTAGGTCTTTCTCTGTCTCTCTTTGTTCCTATTTTTTCTTCTAATATGTCTCAGAGAAGCAGAGGAAAACTAAGACTATTAATGATATAAAAATGAATTAATTTTTTTAGAATATATTAAAAGCTTTAAAGCGTGCCACAGAAGGCAGGACAAGTATTTGTATAGCTCATCGTCTCAGTACCGTAATGGATGCTGATGAAATAGTCGTACTCCAAGATGGTCGTATTTCCGAAAGGGGTACACATGATGTTTTAATATTAAATCCCGATAGTTTGTATCGTAAATTGTGGCAGAGTCAAAATCAGTCAGCAATATTTAATATTGAAAGACAAAGTGCTAAAGCTTAGAATAAAACTGGCATATAAATAAATGTAAATAGGAAATTGTAAATAATATTAACGTAAGAAATTAAAAAATATTTTACAGTTCCTTAGGGAAGATACAGTTTTCGTATTTGTTGTAATATAATTTTGATTTAAGTACATACTTTAAAATACTTACATGAAACGAGTTGAAATCATTTCTATTAAAAGATTAAATCCTACATATTTTTTAGTGTCAAACACAACCCATTTTCAATTTATTAAACCAAAAAACGTAGTATGATGATATTAATAAAATTTATTTCAGAAATAACCATTAAAATATGTATAAATATAATACAAAAACGTTAATTATAGATGTAAAATTCTACTAAAAAATCTAAACATTAGTACTGAAGAGATAACAATTTAACGTTATTTATTTGCTTGCTTGCCCGAATAATTCTTTCATTAAGTTATTTTTCTTTACAGAATTGCCATCAATATTTTCAGTAAAATTTACGTCTTCTCCGTCATCAATGGCTCTCAGCGTCTCTAACAATTTTCTTTTATCTTCTTGTCCCACATCAGACTTTTTCTCATCTTTATGCTTTTCTTTGGTTGCAGCTATAAGGAAATCGTATTTTTTTGCAACATTGCGATCTTTTTTAACTTCTTTTTGAAACACATACTCGTCCTTTAATATTTCGTTTACAATATCAACATCTTTACTAGGAATTTCAAGTTTATCTACAATTTGTAAAGAGCCTGAGGTTAATTTTTGACTTATTTGGTCGACCCTGTCCAGATCACTTAAGACTTTGTCCATTTCAGCTTTGCTTTGTTCAAAAGTGACCAATTGTTTTTCGAGACTATCACTACATTTATGCACCGAGTTTATCACAGATGAACAATAACCTTCGAGATTTTCGTCTAGAGCGTATTTATCTTTTAATTGTACTCCCTTCCGTATACTAGATTTTAAATTTTCGCCTATAATGTTCAATCTGTTCCTATCGAAATGTAATTGCTTTAAAGATATTGTAGTAATATCTACGTTTTCATTGTCTGTTTTACTTAAAAGTTCAATGTCTTTTTCAGATAACATTAATTTTCCTAGGTTGGAGTTTGAACGAGTTAAATCATTTTCGTTTTTGGCTGCTTTTTCAGGAGAATAAAATCGAGTGTATGTAGGTATTTTGGAGCCTTCCACGTCTTCTCTTTTTCCAGAAAGTCTAGCTTTAATTTTTTCTGTTGGCGACTCCAAATAACCATTTTGTTGCGAGACCACATTTGAGGGGGGTTTGGTATTATTTGCTTCATTTAATAATGGCTCCAGTTTTATATCGTCTTTACTTTCTATAGAAGCAGCATCGTCGAATGGTTGGTCATCACGATTGCTTTGAATTTCCGAAGCACTTGTGTCTTTTTCTAAATTTACTAGAGAAGTCGATTGTCTTTTTTGAATGTTACCGAATCGTTTTTTGCCTTGAACTGTATTTGGCTGTCCCTTTATATTTCCCTAAAACAAAACAAAATTTTTAAAAATTATTGAATCTATCCGTTTGTTGTTAAAAACCTCTATCATTATATTTAGCTTATCAATTTCATTGAAAGCTTGCTGTAATTCCTTTTGATACTGTTTAGTTTTTGATATTTCTGTGTTTATTTTGTATTTATAGTTTTTGTTGTCAAGAATACTTTTCCTGTTTAAATTCGTTATTTCTTCTTCACTTTTATGTAACTTTAGTTTAAGTTCATCAATTTGTTCTGCAAGTTTTTCTCTTTCTTCTAAATGCCTGTCTTTAGAAAGGTTTGTAAGATGTTTCAACTGTTCTCTTAAGTTGCTAATTTCTTCATCTTTTGCTTTTAATTGCTCTCCTGCCTCTTTTAATCCTTTTCGTAACGTTTTATTTTTACTTTGCAAAATTCGCACTTCTTCTTCGTATGATTGTAGTAGTCTGGGTAGTTCTGCATTAGTTCCTTCGTATCTGAAAGACAAAATGAAATAGAATTTTGTACTTTACAGTATCTCTTCAGAATCTTTTACTTACTTTGCAAGAGCTTTTTCTTGTCGTGCCTGTAGTGTTTTAAGAGCTCTATTCTCTTGTTGGAGTTCCTTAAAATATATATGAATTCTAAGAAAACAGTTTTTTGTCTTAACAACTATTATTTTAAAACATACAGCTAAATGGTGATTTGCGTCGTTCAGTTGGTTTTGAATTTGTTTAAGTTTAAGAAGTTTAGCGGATAATACTCTCTGCTGTAGATTATTATTTTTTGTATTGACTCTTATCGAGGCTGCTAAGGGATGAACGATAGGTTTTCGTTTGTGTAAAAGACAACTTGGATTGGAAGAGTAAATGGTTTCACGACTGCTGTTTCTAAAAATAAACCGTAAAAATTCGAAAATGTGCATTAATTGTAAACATATGCATGCAAATTGAATACCTTGAACCTAAAGGTTTTCTAGCAGTCCCAGGACTAGACATTTTATATGAATATGAGCAACGTATAATTCAAAAAAGTGAAGGAAATTCATGTAAATGTACGAAAAATTGTGTACATTTGTCAGTTAGTTGTTAAAAATGTTTGTATAATAAGTTTCTATAGAAACATCCAAAGTGGGTCATATTCAAATTAAACAACAGGTGTTAATAAGATAAGATAATTGCTTTGATTTATATTGCGATACACAAGACATTTCAGTTCAGAACATGTTCTATAGTATTAACTGATAAGGGCTATCTATAAATACGTCACAATTTTTTCAACTCCCCTTGTCTCACACTAATTAGTTTAATATTATGGTACGATAATTCGCTGTCCCTCTTAATACGACAAAAAATAGCCAAAAGTATGCATCTAAATCTAGTATAGACCAATGAACAGTTAGTTTTATTATATTTTAACTGCGTTTATGATCTCTCTCAAGATAGAAACGTCGTTCATATTTCGTAAATAAAATATTTTTATCATAATAAAGCTTAAAATGTACATTTAAGGTTTGTATATACCATATATCATATTAAATGTTTCGTCATTCTACGTTGATTACAAAATAGGACGGTACTAAAACTTTCATTTCTCTTTAATTTAAAATTGAAAAAAAATATATTTTCATACATTAACTTTACCTCCCTTGAATGCTTATGCATTTAGTGGATGGCCCCAATGGTAATAATAAAAAAACATATTGATTTGCAACATTTATTGTATATTAACAACTATTGTATAATACGATTCGAATTTATTTAAAGTGCGAATACGTTTCATAAATATCTCAACAGTACTTCTAAAGAAAAAAATTGATTTTACAGTCTTCAACAACATCTAGAAATCACATTACGTAGCGTTTTATTTATTATTGTCTTGGAAAAGTTGCTTCGGTCGAGAGTCGGAGTTCAGTACAAAACTACTTCGCCGACCGAGACAAATTTATCGTCAACTTTACGTTTAATACAGGGACAACAAAAAGCCATCAACGATTTGCTCTGATCTTACAACTGGTACCAGCCACAGTTATAATCAAACCATTTCTCAAACAATGAGAATTTCAAATAATAAATACGCTCGTTTTCAACAAACAAGATTTAAGTATAAACAATTAGATAATAATTAAGTAGATGTTAAAAATCGACGCAATAAATGTCCAAGTAAAAACTATTATAAAGCGGATTACTTTCGTTGTACAACTAATTGTAAGAAGGGAATTACCGTGGGCGTTTCCATTAAATGAAAACGATAAAGAATTAGTATCTACCAATCAGCTTAGAAAAGATGAACTACGTCTCAATACAGCTTAAACTGTGCACAACAGCGATATTTGATTCGGTTGGATTATCCCTCCTGCGCCTGATAATACAGATTCTTTGCTTAAGTAAACATCCACTTGTCTAGCAGCTTGTCGACCCTCTGAAATTGCCCAAACAACTAAGGACTGGCCTCGTCGACAATCTGTAAAAGAAATATTTTTTAGTTTTTTAATGATTATGTGAGTATATTATTTCGTACCTCCTGCTGCAAAGACGTTTTCCCTGTTAGTTCTGTAATCTTTGCAATTGAAATTTGATCTTGCATCTAATGTTAGGTCTAATTGATCAGCTATTTGTCTTTCCGGACCTAGAAAACCCATTGCGAGAAGTACCAGGTCTGCTTTGTAAACTTTTTCAGAATTAGGTCTCTCTTCCATTTGCCAACGACCAGATTCGTCTTTCTTCCAGTCAACTAATACTGTACGAACTCCTTCAATATGACCATGCCCATTGTCAATGAATTCTTTTGTCATGATATTAAAAATACGAGGATCTTTGCCAAAACGGACTTTTACCTAATAATAAAATCGAATTATTTGATAATACTTTCGGTAGTAGTAATCATTTTAATATAAATATATTAACCTCTTCGTGGCCGTAGTCTAATTTAAAGATTCTAGGCCACTGTGGCCATGGATTATCCTTGCTTCTTTGTGGTCCTGGCTCTGGTAAAATTTCGAATGTTGTAATCGAAGCAGCACCTTGCCTTAAGGATGTTGCAATACAGTCACAACCAGTGTCACCCCCTCCTATTATAATCACATGTTTATCTTTGGCCAATGGACCTGGCTTGTTACCACCCAACTGTTTGGCTTGCCAGCTTTCTAGGAATTCCATGGCAAAATGAATTCCTCCTAATTGACGACCTATAATGAATGTTATTTTAGTTTTGGTAGTGATAAAATATGGTAGATAGAGAACATACCTGGTAAGGGTAGATCCCTAGGCCACGTCGCTCCTGTACAAAGGACCACAGCATCAAAATCTTCAGATAATTCTTTGGCACTGATATCCTTGCCAACGTTTACATTTATTTTAAATGTAATACCTTCGGCTGCTAAAAGGTCAACTCTTCTTTGAACAACGGTTTTGCTAAGCTTCATGGTTGGAATGCCATACTGAAGGAGTCCTCCAATTCTATCATTTCTTTCAAATACAGTAACATTATGACCAGCTTTATTAAGCTGTTGTGCACAAGCTAATCCGGAAGGTCCACTTCCTACAACGGCCACGTGTTTTCCCGTTCTAATGGGAGGTATTTGTGGGACTATCCAACCTTGTTCGAAGGCATGATCTATAATAGAGCATTCGATGTTTTTGATCGTTACACTAGGTTCGGAAATACCTGCAAACCAAATGTATTATTAATATATTACCAATGTTGGATATGAGGTATTCTATTAACCTAGCACGCAAGCAGCTTCACATGGAGCAGGACAGACACGCCCAGTAAACTCTGGGAAATTGTTTGTTTGCAAAAGTTGGTTTAAGGCTTGGCGCCATTGATTTTGGAAGATAAGAAGGTTCCACTTAGGAATGATATTTCCTAAAGGACAGCCGTGAACATTTGATTGGCAGAAGGGAACACCACATTCCATACATCGGGCTGCTTGAACCCTTAAGCCTTTACGTACGTGAGGGAAATTATAAATTTCATCCCAGTCTTTCATTCGTTTCTCAGGAGGCCTATAAACACTTGTCTCGCGAGGATATTTCATAAAACCTAAGAGTAAAATTACTACGTAACGGGCACTCTGATTATTATTTTTTGAAAACTTTACCTCTTATTTTGTCTAATGCGCGTTCTGCTTTCTTTTGTTCTAAAGTTATATCGGCAACAGAATCTTCGATGTCTTGAATCTTCGGTTCACCATTTGGCACCTTTTGTAGTTGTTCAACTGCGTTTTCTTTTTCTTTAATTACCCTTTGGTATTCATACGGGAAGACTTTAACAAATTCTTTAATGCGCTGGTGGAATTCTTTAATCAGCTGGTCTGCGATAACGCTTCCGGTTAAGTCTCTGAATTCATGTAAAAGCTTTCGGACTAATTCGACGTCTTCTCTCTCGTCTAGTTTACAAAGCTCCACCATTTCTTTATTGCATTTGTTTGGAAATGAGCCATCCAAATCCCATACAAATGCCAAACCTCCCGACATACCAGCCGCAAAATTTCTTCCAGTTAAACCTGTAAAATATATAATATTATTTAGCTGGTTTATTAAATGAAACACGTGGAATGTTACCTAAAATAAGTACAATTCCGCCTGTCATGTATTCACATCCGTGATCGCCTACACCTTCAACAACTGCAATGGCTCCAGAGTTTCGAACAGCAAAGCGTTCAGAAGCAATTCCTCGCATATAAACTCGGCCACTTGTTGCTCCATAAAGACATACGTTACCTGCTATGACATTAAGGTGTGATTCGAACTGAGATGTTTTTGGTGGATAGATAATTATCGTAGCACCTGATAGACCTTTGCCTAGAATAAGAAATAAAAGCTTTTTTTATTACCTACCCCAGTATCTTTTTCTACATTTTCACTTACCCACATAATCGTTAGCATCACCTTCTAAAGTGCATGTTATTCCTTTTGTCAAAAAGGCGCAAAAGCTTTGACCTGCAGAACCTTTTAAAAATATATTAATTTTCTGTCCTTCTGGTAATCCCTCTTCATGGTATTTCCTAAAAAAGTATTATTTGTTGCTAAAACGTTAGAAGAACATAACATCTTTAATGTATTTATTACTTTGAAATATGATAGCTTAATGTCGATCCGAAAGCTCTGCACTCATTATGGATGTTCATTTCAATTGTAATCTCTTTCTCGATACCATCAATTACACCTTTTGACTTTTCAATTAATTGATTGTCTAGTCGTTGTTCTAGTTGGAAATCTTGACTTACAGAACCCCCGACGATGTTCACACCAGGTCTCATATGCAATGCATTTTGTAATATCAGGCTTAAGTTAAGTAACTTAGCTTTTGGTAATCCTTGATCAGATACTTTCAATAGGTCAGTTCGACCTATGAGCTCTTGAAATTTGCGAACCTATAATAATATTATTATGGTTTTCGAATTAATGACTGATTAAGTTATATTTACCCCTAAAGACGCCATATGTTGTCTGACCTCCTCTGCAAGCATAAATAAATAGTTTATTACATGTTCAGGAGCCCCTTTGAATTTTTTGCGAAGAATTGGATCTTGAGTAGCAACTCCAACAGGGCAGGTATTTAAGTGGCACTTTCGCATCATTGTGCAACCTATTACAATGAGAGGAGCTGTACTGAAACCAATCTCGTCTGCTCCTAGTAAAGCTGCTATAACAACGTCGAAGCCTGCACAAATGAATAGTAAATTTTAGTTCTTGCCTTATAGAGCCTTTTAAAAACTGTCACCTGTTCTAATTTGTCCATCAGCTTGCAAAACAACTCGAGATCTTAAGTTGTTAAGAGTTAAAACTTGGTGTGTCTCGGCAATTCCAAGTTCCCATGGAAGTCCTGAATGTTTAATACCTGTCCATGAGCTGGCACCTGTGCCTCCATCGTGTCCAGATACTGTTATGTGCTCTGCTTTACCTTTGGCTACCCCTGAGGCCACAACTCCTACTCCAACCTTGTAAACAAAATTTTGGTATTACAATTGAAGTAAATGTTTACTAATCTTATAAACAGTAGTATAAGTACCTCAGATACAAGTTTCACGGATATTCTAGCGTCAGGATTAGCACATTTCAAGTCATAAATCAGCTCAGCCAAATCTTCGATGGAATAGATGTCGTGGTGGGGAGGTGGTGAGATCAGACCCACCCCTGGAATAGAATGACGTGTCTTTGCTATATCCGGAGATACCTTGTAACTGAGAAGAAATATTTTATTTTACTTTGCCAGGCGTTTGAAAAGCCTTTCTTAAGTTTATCTGTCGGCGTGTTAAATATAATTGACATAGTAAATAAAAATAGAAATGGGTGAGGTCGAAAAGGGCATCTAAATGGGACGTTAATTAAAAATTTAATACTGTTGCTTACCCTGGTAATTCTCCTCCTTCTCCAGGTTTAGCACCTTGAGCCATTTTAATCTGTAAGTCGTCAGAGTGGGCTAAATAGGACGAAGTGACACCAAATCTTCCTGAGGCAACCTGTTTAATCGCAGATCGTCTTTTGGGGTTTAAGTAACGCTCTTCGTCTTCACCTCCTTCACCAGTATTACTTTTACCGCCAACCTGTAGGATGAAAACGACAATTTATTATATACAGTAAAAAAGATATATATATAAATATACTGACCTTATTCATCGCAATTGCTAATGTTTCGTGAGCTTCAATGCTAATGGAACCAAAACTCATAGCACCAGTAGCAAAACGTTTCACTATTTCTGCTGCAGACTCTATTTCGTCTAACGAAAGTGGCTGATCTAAGGTTCGTAATTGCAATCGTCCACGCAACATGCAATTCTTAACCGATTCCATTGTAGCTTCTTTGAATTTCTCGTATGCGGTTTTATTGTTTAATGTTGCTGCTTCCTGAAACATATGTAAAATATAAAATAAGGTTTTACTGAAATTATACATGCAGTGCACATTTTGTTTACCTGTAATGCTGCAATGCTAGCTGGGTCGTTAATATGCTTTTCTCCACCGGCTCTCCAATGATAATTGCCAGGATCTCTGAGCACGTAGCTATCGACATTTAAACAGTAAGTATTGTGGTGTCTTTGAAACGATTCTCCAGCTAAAAGTTCTAGAGTGACACCGCCAATCCGTGATGGAGTTCCTGTAAAATTAACATTAATACAATTTAGTAAACTGGAAATAAAAGTAATCACCTTTGAAACATTTTTCTATGACCTCCTCTGCAAGACCGACAGCCTCGAAAATTTGGGCTCCTTTATATGACTGTAACGTGGATATTCCCATTTTGGCCATTACTTTATTGATGCCTGTTTGCATGGCTTGGGCATAGTTTTGGTAAATGACTTCATCCGTTAAGGAACAGTCGAGAATTCCCTGATCTCTAAGACTAGCTGCTAGTTCCATGGCTAGGTAAGGACAGATAGCATCAGCGCCGTAGCCCAGAAGTACACAAATATGATGTACTTCTCGAGCTTCTCCACTTTCGATAATTAGAGCCACCTTCATTCTGGCACGTGTTTCGATTAAGTGGTGGTGAATTGCCCCTGAAATATAAATCATTTTAAAGATTATAAATGGTATGAATCAGAAAGAAAACTAACCAAGTGCAAGCAAACTGCTAATTGGAATTCTATCCGCACCAGCATTTCGGTCGGATATTATAATTATTTGATGATTCCAACTGGCTTTCTCAGCTTCTTCACAAATAGCATTGAGTCGTGGAGTAAGTCCTTTTGGACAGTCGGATGCAGGGAAAGTTGCGTCGATTGTGTAAGAACACCAACCCCTGTGAGCAGTCTTTTTCAACACATCAATATCCGCGATGGAAAGAATAGGTTGCTTCAACCACAACCGATGAACCTATTGGTAAAAGGGAAGCTAATAAAGGAAAATGTTGAAGAATTGTAACAAACCTGATTTGCACTAGGTTGTAAAATATTGGCCTCGGGTCCAATGGGACACTGTAACGACATTACGTTTTTTTCTCTGAAGGGATCGATTGGTGGATTCGTAACTTGCGCAAAGAGTTGTTTAAAATAGTTGTATGTCAAAGGGGCAAATTCAGAAAGACAAGCTAATGGTTCATCATTACCCATACTCCCCAGGGCTTCTTTTCTGAAAAAGTTTTTTAATTTCAGTATGCCTTATGAGTTACATAAATTTGGGATAATCAACCAACTTGTTATTAATCATAGGCAAAAGTAGCATGTGGATTGTTTCCGTGGTATATCCGTAGAGGGAGAGGCGGGGATCGGCCAATCCACTGGGTTGATATTTGGGCTTTTCAGGATATCCTGCTTTTGTGTGGGCTTCGCGTAATTCTTCCATTGTGATCTGCATTTATTATCAGTTGTGAAAGCAAAAGTTGTGCAGCAGTGTTAAGTAAAGAAATACACAAATATCTATCTAATTTTAAGCTACTACACCACTAACCAACCAAGTTAATTATTTTCAAGTGTTATGTTTTTCATTTTAGATCGACGTACAAATTTTAAAAGGTTTCCTTTATGGCAAATTCTTTTGTTCATTTTATATTCACACTTGAGACAAACAATGGTAAAGTATCTACAAACTTTGATTTCGTATTTAAACAAAAAAGTTTGCCAAGAGGTAAAAAATCAAATTTTTTAATAGACACATGCGAAAAACTTTAAAACGTATGTCCTCTAAGCTTAAAAACGCGCAATAGTAGATACATGTATAACTATTTTAAAGTAATACACCATACATAAATTTTTTACAGAATAGGATATGATTGTGCAGACGAGAAAGAAATATTGTTTGTTTTGCATGTTAAGTTATTCTACTTTCACTACTTGATGTCTGATTGCAAGTTTAATAACGTAAATAAATTTGTGATTGTTAGGTGCATGTGATAAAAAGCGGGAAAGAAATCCTCTGCAAGAAAAAAATAAGCTTTTCTAAAAACAGGTTGCTATACCACTCACCATCTGTTGATGCCAACATGCAAAATAGATAAAATGTCAATTAATCTCAGTATTTTCATTTTTATATTTTTGTTATTTCTATCGATAATACCAAATTCTTGCAATGAGTACATGACAATAATAAATAAGTTAATAGTGTTGCTGTCTGCTGAAAGTAAATGCCAATGAAAAAGAAAAACTGTTTGGTATCTCACCTTTTCCTTAAGCCACTTGGAATGTTCTCTTGATTGCGCTATGTGGTTCTTGATGTCGACGTCTTGAATGAATTTCTTTTCTTGCGTATCAATTAATAACATACGTCCAGGTTTCAGACGGCTTTTGTGTATTACATCGGCTGGGTCAACATCATAAACTCCTACCTGTAAGTAAAATAATTATATAATTTTTTCAATATTATATATATATGAATCTGTACTTACTTCACTTGCCATTACTAGAATATTTCCCTTGCAAACGTAAAATCTTGATGGTCTTAAACCGTTCCTGTCTAAAATGGCCCCAATATAGCGACCATCAGTAAACGAAATAAGAGCGGGACCATCCCAAGGCTCCATAGTGCAAGCTGCCCAATGGTAGTAGTCTCTTTTTTCCTGGGACATTGTTAAATCGTTTTGCCAGGCTTCAGGGACCATTGTCATGATTGCCTAAAATGAAATTGAACGATCGTTTCTATTTGCAATCATATTTTTTTTGTTTGTACCTCTGGTAATGGTCTTTTTCCAACTCTCACAAGGAATTCTAGAACACAATCAACAGAACCACTGTCAGATAAATTGGGCTCTACTACGGGATAAAGTGTCTGCAATTTGTCTCCAAATTCTTCATTTTTCATTACACCCTCTCTAGCTTTCATGTAATTCACATTTCCTCTTAATGTGTTAATTTCCCCGTTATGTGCAATCATTCTGAAAAAAAAATTCGTAATTACCCTTATTATAATTCTATTCCAAACAGATACCATACCTTAGAGGATGAGCCCTCTCCCAACTGGGAAATGTATTTGTCGAAAATCTCGTGTGTACTAAAGCCAAATAGGTATCGTACAATGGGTTTTTAAGATCGTCAAAGTAGGTCCACAATTGTTCTGATGTTAATTGACCTTTATAAACAATTATCTTTCGACTAAGGGAGCAGATATAGAAGCGTCTTCCTGGCGCTGGAATGGTGTGGCTCGCTCTTTTACGAAGAATGAAGAATTGAACATCCAATTGCTCTTCGGTTAAAGAATTATCGTCATTTTTGAATGTAATGAATACCTTAAAAGTGATGGATTAATTTTTGATAGTTGAGAATGACTCAATTCTAATTACCTGGCGCATAAAGGGTTCGGAATTTTTGGCAACTTGTCCAATGGTGGAATTGTTAATAGGCACTGTCCGCCACGCGAGAACTTTCATTTGAAGCTCGTCTGCAAGAGCTTCGAACTTTTTCTCGGACTCTTGATGATGCAATTTATCCAGGAAGAATATGCCAGTTGCATATTTTCCAAATGCGGGAATTGTAATACTTTGCTCATCTCTGCAATTAATTAATTAATTTATATCAAAGGGCCACAATAATTGTTTTATACTATTGAAAACATATTATATTTTTATCAAAACTGTGCAAGCAAATCGAAAGTTGCAAACACAAACATAATTATGCTGTTAGTCATGCAAGTGTACATACACACTAAATTAATGTTATCTATGCATAAGACCATTATAAAAATGAACTATAAAACCGTGCCTCTATAATATATTCCTGAAACGTAAGCAACATCCACTTTTATTACATAAGAAATCCTCGGCTGTGTAACTAGATAGCCATCAAAACAGATACGCATAATAATACCCACTTTGTGATCGGTATTCGATATCATTAATACAATACTTCGTGGTTTAATAAAAACAACTCCAATTTCATACAAATTACCTCAGTTTTGTTATTGATTTTTTCACGAAGTTAAAGAAAATATACAAAAACTATTTTTTATTGTTATCATTTCAAGGCAAATAATAAAAACCTACTTTTATAAAAACAGTTGAAAAATATTCTACCTTGCAGAAATTAGCAAATAAACTTATAGTCGCATAGGTACATTATTTAAACAGTTTAAAATGTTTTTGTAAGCCCGTTCTGAAATTAAATCAGAAATTTCCATAGTCTATTTCTTCATATCAAACAAATGCAGATAGAATAAATTTTACATTATTTAAACAAAATAATTGTGACCCATGACGTTTTGATATTTTAATTGGTTATTATTTTTGTTTGTTTTTTTTTAAATCATCAATTAATGAGGTTTTAGGAATAATTGAATAAAAAATACGCCTAATTTTAACACGCGTAAAAACATAACAGAAACTTTATTTGCATTTAATTCGATCATTCAGATTCACAGGAAGATATTTTTGGAAAATGTTTTGAATACCGGCTTCTTAACTGTAATGTTATGTAAATATTGATTTTTTCCTAGTAAACTGTATAAAATAGTATAAATATAATGTTCTTGAAAAGTCAGTTAATCAAGTAGAGAAAACGTAAGGGGAATTTAGACAATAAATATAACATTTTACAGTTTTCAATAGAATACTTTCAATTGGATAATTAGTAAGATAAGTTAACACATTTAGATCACACATAATAATCGAAATCGTTATCGCTACTAAGGGATCTATTTATTTTACTCGTTACATAATATATGCATATTAATTTTGCATTATTAGACCTTGGGGTTTTCGTAAAATGTTAGAATAAAATTATAAATAATCTCGGATTTTCCGCAACATTTGGAATGATATGCAACTTTTATCTAGTAACAACCAGGAAACAAACTTTAAAAATATAAAACAGTTTTTAATAAACTTTTATTTAGCGCCAGAAAGCACCCTCTTATATTCCTTACCATGAAGCACTATTTTGTACAGTGCTCCACATTCGGGATTAGGATAGGAATAAGGGATTCGCTTATCCGACGTTTCGCCACGACTGACATTCTCATGGAACTTAGTGCAGTAGTAATGCCCTTTACTGCAGTTGTACTGATAACAACCACGCCTGGTGGAGAGAGAAACGTCGGATAAACGACCCCGTGGAGGAGAATAATTCTAGACGATAGCTTTCAAAAGAAAAAGAATTTACAAGTTGGTCTAAGATAAAAATAAATACTGCTTCGCGTCTGTAATTTATAATTAGGATCATACCTTAAAATTGCATAATAATACTCGTGTGGTATGGCTGTTAAAACTCCAGCACCATCTCCAGTATCGTTATCACAGGCGCATGCTCCTCTGTGGTTCATAGCAATAGCCAGACGCTGGGCATCTTGCACAATTTTGTAAGACCGCTGACCATCTATAGCTGCTATAAATCCTACACCACATGCCTCTTTTTCTAAACTGGGATCATACAAACCTTGACCAGGTGGAGGTTGCCACGGTTCTGCCATGTATTCTGGAACGTGAGAAAAAATTACTTTAATCGTTGTCTTTAATAAGTGCATAACCCAACCCAGCCAGTTTAAAAATATGGTCCACTTATTAGCTACGCAATTGTACATACATCATAATTTTGTTGCATTGGATGTAATTTACTTGGTTAAATATTATATATAAAAGAAATTATGAATGCTGTCAGCACAGGGTAAAGTCGTATTACGTAGTTACTATCAGCAATTTCTTATGCTGAAGTGTACGATGTGTTGCATACTTATTTACAAACAATTCCTTTAAATTTATTATTTTTTTCAACAATTTTGAGCACAAAGAAAGTAGTTAAAATTGTTCACAAAAGTGAATTTCGACCACTTGAAGCAATGGTGCTATCAGTGACTGATAGGGGGGAATAACTACTATTATATAAAATATAAAGTATTTATACGAGTATAGGACCAAAAATTAACATAGTGTAGTTGATGTTGTGTAGGTAGGTATTGAATTGTTCTACGACAATAACTCTCTAAACGCATATTGTATTTTGTTTATATTTTTATTATGGAACTATAGTGCGCATTATTATTTTATCACCTTTTTTCTAAATAAAGAACCTTCGATATTTATCTGTCATTTCAATTTTATTAACTTGTTACTTGTTACTAAACTATTGTTTCAGTGGGTATTAGGGGCAAGGCTATATACAGATAGAGTTGTGTCGAAAATTGTAGGACTAGACGATTTTCTATTTGTACACTGTAGGCATTCTGTTTAGTATTTGAAAACAATTATCACGGAAATGTTTGAATATGACATGCTATAAAGTTTTATATCTAATATAGTGCTTTTTTAAAATGTTTATAACAGTTTATATAGTCGTAGCCATTTTTAACACCTTTAGCATTGTTTTTATTAGACTTGTAAATCATAAAAACAAAATGTGAGACCTTTAAACTTTTACATGCTGCAATAATGTGTAAGATAATTATTTATTACGAATAATGTTAATTTATAGAAAAAAAGGTTTACAATCTAATCGTACTGACTGCAGAAAAACCAACTTTTTTTATCACATTTTTACAAAAAGTTTGACCTATTTTAGCACAGTAATTATACTAAATAAGTTACGGAGTCAATAAACTTAAAAAAAAATTAATGTCAAAGTTAATTTACGTAAACGGTTGATTGAAACATAGGGATTGAAGAGATATAATATTGTTTATAAATAAATTTAGTAATGTTTACGTCATTAAGAAATTTTAATTAACGTGAAGAATCTGCATATAAATACGTTGTAAATAGTCTTATTAAAGATTAGAAGCATTTCCGCTGAACTAATTAGAGTGGTAATATCTGGTTTGTCCGGGAATCATATTCGCAATAGTTCATGTATAACATTTTTTCAGTCATCTCTTTCAAGTTTTTAGTGTTTAATAAATGTTTTAGAATAATTGTCACTTACTGAAAATTTCAAATTTTTATTCTGGCAGTAGTGAAATGAAAAGGTTAGAAGCGTTCGAAATGTGGTGTTATAGGCGAATGATGAAGATATCGTGGGTAGAAAAGGTTAGAAATGAAGAGGTATTAGAAAGAATAGAAGAACAGGGGCTCTATGGAAGTCAATAAAAAATAGGCGAGATAGGTTGGTAGGACACCTTCTTAGGCATGAAGGTCTAGTCAGAGACTTATTAGAGGCAGAAACAGGAGTTAGGAGGGGTAGAGGTAGACCTAGATTAGATTACTGCTCGCAAATAGTTAAGCATGTAGGCTGTTCTAGTTTTAGGGAAATGCGAAGTTTAGCTCAGGATAGGAAAGAGTAGGACACGTACCTCCAGTGTCCAATCAGTCTTAGGACTTTATGATGATGATGAGTGAAATGAAAATACAAAAAGTATTTTGCATTATTCTACGCTCATTAATTAATTTTGTGAAGATTGGGGAAGCGCATAATCTTTAACTAGACGATATAGTAATCTTCAGTTATAGAAACAAATTTCAATTCAATTTTTCAAATCAGTGCTAAATAATGAAATTGAATCGAGAAACTTGTAAATACCTACAGTATCAGTAAAAACTTGTTAAAAGCAACTACGTAATTTAAATTTAATTTTTATATCTACGATTTTTTATTTGTCAGATTTTTGTGAAATCGTTTTATATAGGCACATAAATTTCCAATATTATTATATATACTTTTGTAAACAGTAATAATCCGATTAGTACGTAAGTTAGTAGCTGCTTACATTGAGATTTACAAAAGGATTAACTAACACTTAAACGATAAAACGTAATACAAAAAAAAACATATATTCAAGAAAGTTAAATTTTAAAATGTGAAGCAAGCTTCTTGCCTGCTTCTTACTTGCATTTTTTTTAATTGGATAAAACTGCTGCTAGTTTGAGAACTCTAATAAACAAAATTATTAATTGTACAAATTGCGGTAACTTATTGACAATGGTGGGTAAAGTAAAACGCATTTGTGTTAAAAAGCTTGCAATGTTTATCGACAAGAAAAGGTAGATAACGGACCTACTTGTATTGAACCCAATTTCTACACGTATTTAAGTAGGTACATACTCGAATTTAGTAAAAATATTAGCAACTTTAGGTAGTATATAAATTGTGTGTATATTTACCAATTCACTTTTCATAATTTAATTTTGTTAGACCACTACGTAACACGTAAAAAAATACTAATGATTAGTGCAACTTTTTATCGCAGAAAATTAGACACCCACGTGAAGTTTTTGTATATTTGTACATTATATTTTGTTACATAGGTATTAAGAAACTAAAGTTGTTAAGTATACCATCCTCACATTAAAACAAGCAAGAATATCACTTAGTTTTGATTTTTGTCTTTTGATGAAAAATTTGGGTTAAAGGTCTATTAATTCAGGGACATTTTCATGAAAACTTATTTTAATTTATTGGTAGATTAAATAAAATGTGTAACATACTATTATTTATTAAAGAATACGGTAAAATTTATTAAACTAAGAGATCAAAATTTTATAATAAAGGTAAGGGTTAAGTCGTAAAATACATTCACAAATAAGGAGGAGGGAGGGGTATTGCTTAACGTGAACAGATAGGACAAGGGGGTGGGGGGTCTAAGGGAATGTGACGTTCGAAGTTCATAAATTTGATTTTATTGATTTTCTTAACTTGGTAGTTCTTAAAATTTTTCATTACAATAGAAAGTCATTCTCATTGATATTTTTAATAATAAGAAATCGTGACGGAATATTTGTTAGAGGGTTGCTAAAAGTGTGACTTAGCGTGACGAAGGGGAGGAGTCCAAAAAAGTAAAATTCTGAGTGAGTAACTTTTTGGGGGGCTAAAATTGTTTATTTTTACAGCACCTACAACAGTAACACATGCTTTTTTTTTATTTATCAAGGTGATGCTACATCATAAATATTTATAAGACGTTTTAAATTAAGATAGCGAAATATTATACAAAAGTATCGAATATTGTAAGAATCCGGTAAAAACGAAAAGTAAAGAAAAACTTTTGGTATTTCGAATTTGTACGGCTTCATATTATACGAGACAAATGAAGGTCTTAATCTGGACATATTCAATAAAAAATCGCATTATTTGTTAGAACAGCTTCAAAAACAAAAAAAAAAGATGCGATGCATCAGTTACATAATTCTATACTGGCATATAGGAGCATTCTTGTACTCGTGGATCGATTTATTTTGTGGATTAATTAATTATCTATCTGCGCAGAATATCACGGTCACGGTCAACTGTGTTTATCGACCATTATTTTTACCTATACACCAATTTTTTAATTTATACAATGAAATGCAAAAAAACGAAAGTAAAATAAAAACAAAGTGAATTTTGCTGTCTTTCCCTAGTAAACTTTAATTTTTAATGCCTTCCGAAAAACAAATCAATAAATAATAATAAATAGATAAATATATACGTTCCAATAAATTGTCTACTGCATAAAACGTTATAATGTATGTTGTTTGTACCAACTTGCGCACCCAGTAATTAAAGATTTATTCTTNAATGTAGAGGTAGGCAACCCTTTCTTCTTAACTGAGAGACGGGAGTACATACGTGTATCCACTATCCATGATTTAAATGCTAAATGGCATATTATTATTATTATGATTGTATGTTTGTGTTTAGAGTATAAAATTTGATTATATTATTGTTTATTGTATTTAAATTTTGTCTGACTAACAATAAGTGGATTTTAGTGGGTTTTCTAAAAATTGTAGAATCTAGTTAAAGTGTTTTAATTAATTAAGCGCACCAAAATAAAACTAGAAATAGAAATAGAATAGAAATACTATTATACACCATAAAGAGAAATTAGTTCATGTATTACGTAATTTTTAGCTGTATTTTAAGGGTTTAATGGACGGTATTACTGACATCAGCGAATAATTATTCTGCGAAAATGTTTAGTTGTAAACGGAAAAATTTGCGAAATATGATTGAAGATTTGTTATCTAAATTGCTCCTTGCTTGTGGGATGCCGACGGTCTATAGTAAACAGACATGCGGAGAAACGATGATAATTGTTATTATCACACTTGCTAGTGTTTTTTCCTAAACACACATTTTACTGATTTACAAATCAAAGTATGCAAAAGAGAATTCTTTTATGATTGTTGTTCTATTATTTTGAAAAACTAAATAAATAGAAGGTAAGTTGGTATTGTGCACAAAAGAAAAAAGAGAGGACAGTTGATGGGTTCCTAAAAAAGGTAATGGGACCTGTTATGGTTCCTATAAAACTGAAAGGAAATTGCTTGAATTAAACAATTGAAACATTGAAAATTTTGAAATGTTCATTTCCTGTTTTTTTACCATAAGTAATCGAAAAGTGCCGCAAGTTTTATTGATACGTTTGCAATTATATGGCTCTATAAAATTCGTTGCAATTTGATTAGAACAGTTTATGACTTTGGCCTTATGTATTAGGTACAGTACAGGTTTTATAAAATACTGTCATATTCACAATACGCGCCTTGAGAGTTGCCAAATTGGATCGGTGCCAAAATCTTTACACGAAGATAAATCTTAACTGAATTCATAGACATTAAGTATGCGTAAAATTTCACTACTATTGTTGATATAAACTTTTTTAGCGTTAGCTTGCAAATTATTAACAGTTTGTTAATAAATAAAATCATCGTGAATAACGTTTTTACAAATTTCTAATTCAAATATTTATTTTGGGTGCGTAACACCAAGCGAAACTATCGATTATATTTCACTTTACTTGCGCAAACTCTACCCGCATGTGTGAATGGTTTCGTGGGAAGCGATTTTTTTTATCGTTATTTTTTTCTATTCTTGCCGATTGCTTGCTTGTACTATCACAAAAGCAATTAAAGCGTTCGTAAAATTTACTGACGTGTGCGTTGATAAAGATTAATTAAAAGCCCGCAGATAATTACTTTATAGAGCCGCTTTTTAATAATTTATTCATTTATTATTTGAACAAATGCATTATTTATAGAAATAATTTGTATTCAGCTACGCTAGGTGGATGAACTGTGCTTACCAATAATTCCTTCGACTTTGTTAGCTGCTCACTTTTTGATTCGAAATAAATGACGATTGTTAAATTGGAACTTATTTAAAGAAAAAAGTTTCTAGATTCACAGGATAATTGACTCGATATTATTGATTATATGTCGCCCTGATGCTGCCTGTATTAATCCTTCGGTACAAACGTAGTATCCCAAGCATAGGCGAATATAGTTCGTATTTTTAAGTAACACGACCAACTCGTACGGCTACTACTTCGAGAATAACTTGCGCATGTTGTCTTTATACCGTTTTCCATTTGCGCAACACGCTTCAAATTATTGATGTTAATCTTTCTCAGTCTGTTTTAAGAATTTATCCTATTTGTCTCTCTCATGGATTTTAACAACATTTAAAGTTTGTAAAAATTCTTGCAAGTTGCGATAAATCGTGTGCAGAGAACTTATCTATGACAGAGAATGTGCAAAGGTTCAAAGGACAAAGGAATCCCAAATCCTACGTAATTTTGCATAGACACTCTCACAATAACATGAACAACTTTGACTATCAACCTTTTTTTAATATATGTAAATGTTATCAATTAAATAACTATTGTTTGTACCTTACATTGTCTAGTTCACATTAATTAATAGTAGTTACTGTAAATTAACGAAGAATATAAATTAAAGTACTGCGTAATATTTACTTTTGCTAAAATTTAACCCCATATCTCTTAGGTTTGTTAAACTTTTATAAAATAAGCCACCAAACTTGATAAAGCTACAATGGAAAAATGTTTATAAGCAAAAAAGTTATTTAAACTTATTAAATACGCAATATTTGTTAATAAATATAACCGAGATAGATTTGATTTTTATTTTTCAAAAGTAATTAACACAGCAATATACGTCACATTCACGTGACTTTAATTTACGATATAAATGCAAAATTTTATTATAATTATTAAACACCTTAAAAATTCACCCGTTACTTTAGATATCACATGAGGGTTTATTAATATTCCTATCTATATGACATTACAACGCAAGAAGAAAAAACTTTTCATAAAGATAAAGTTATATGTATGGATTATATTGTAATAACAAACAATAAACAAAGCAGTAATGTTAATAAAAAAATCTAGTTGAACATTATCTTTATTACAATTATGTAATGCTATTTTTTAAAAATGTAGAGGTAGGCAACCCTTTCTTCTTAACTGAGAGACGGGAGTACATACGTGTATCCACTATCCATGATTTAAATGCTAAATGGCATATTATTATTATTATGATTGTATGTTTGTGTTTAGAGTATAAAATTTGATTATATTATTGTTTATTGTATTTAAATTTTATGATAATTTGAAAATCATGCTTGTAAGTATATTAAAATTTAGCATTTTACTAACACTGTATTTGAAGATATTCTTGTTATTTACAGAACCTCCTTTAAAAAAATAAGTTCAAAAGTTGTACCCATTAATGCATCTTTAAATTGTTTTGGTTATTTGAAACGAGTTTTCTAATTTACATTTTATATCCTCTCCACCAATTAGTTCGTGTTTTGCATATTTAACAACCCAGAAAATGTAGAGGGGCTCAAAAAGGATGCTAACTTTCTCTAACCTACTTTATTTAATGTTGAGCAGAACTAGCTAAAAAATATTACTGGTACATTTAAAATGATTTTACCTAAGCTCTTTGTATCAATTTTTAATAACAACAACAACTATAGAGCATGTTTTAGTTTCACTAGTTTAAATTATATTAATCGGAAAATTAATACTACTCATTTTCACCATGCAAAAGTGGCCCAGTACCAGAAACCTGATTGGAATAGAGCTGTAAGTGAGGCTGAAAAAATTGTTGGGTATCCAACATCATTTCTAAGCCTCAGATGGCTACTAAGTGACGAAATAGCAAATGTAGCTCTTCATCTTCGCAAGCTGGTGGGATCCAACCATCCTCTTCTAAAGACAGCAAAGTAAGTGTCTTTAAGTATCCTTTTTATATAAAATATTCTATACTCTTACTTTTATTTTTAACTATTCTTTAAGTAAGGAGCTATTATGTTAATTTGCTATTTATTTCTATAGAGGACTTTTGTACAATGGCAAAAACAATATGCAAGCCTGGGGCCTTATTGTCCTATTGGTTTCCAAAGCTGCTGGACATGCTAAAAATATTCCCGACTTAGAACAAGACAAAGCTGCAGGAGTTCTTCATAGTCAGAGAGCATTAGCAGAAGTAACAGAAATGATTAGAACCTCCCATTTAGTTCACAAAGGTCTTGTAAATTTACAAGAAACCGTTGAAGACTCTGCCAACATGTTATTTGGAAATAAGATTGCTCTATTAAGTGGGGACTATTTGTTGTCAAACAGTTGTGTGGAACTAGCTGGGCTACGTAATCAGGAATTGGTTGAATTAATGAGCTCTGCTGTTAGAGATTTAGCAGAGGCCGAATTTGTGGGTCCCAGAGATAAACAGAACAATCCATTACCTGCCAGGCCACGTGCACAACATGAATACAAGCAGTTCAATGAAAATGGTATTGAACCATTAGTAGTACAGGAAGCACTTGGTAATGCACAAGCTGAGTGGACTCTTAGAAATGTATTGAATGCTGGTAAGTAGACTTTATTAAGTCAGTTTTGCGTCTGTACATTTTTTACATGAGAATATATGTTTTGATCTACAAGGGGGACTTAGAGGTACTTAACTTAAAAAGCCTCTAACTTTTTATGTATCTCTTAATTTTTTTATAATTGATAAATAATATGTCTTTCAAATTCTCCAAAACATTTAACTTGTCTAATTGTAGTTTTCTTTATTTAATAGGCAGTTTATTGGGTAAGTCATGTCAGGGTACCCTTAAATTGGCTGGTCATCCTACAGAATTACAAGAACAGGGCTATTTGTTTGGTAAACATCTAGCTTTAGCCTGGCAGGCTTGTCTAGATCGCGAACCATTTTTGCAAGGCAGTTCGGGCCCATTTAGTCTTGTTTGTGGACCTGTAATGTTTCATTTACAACATGATCCAACTCTATATGAAGAAATTTTGAAAGGAAAAGACGATGTTAACGATGTCGATTATGATTTAATCCGCAAGGTTGTAAATGAAGGACCTGGTCTTGATAAGACTCAAGAACTTCAGAGTCAACATTCTCAAAGTGCTCTCGATGTTTTGAACCAGTTGCCCTCATCTGATGCCCGGACAGCTTTAGCAAATATTATTGCAGCCATACAGGATATTTGAAGTACATAGAAAAGGGAAAATGGGAAGACAGATAGGTATTGTAAATGTTAAAAATTATGGTCACTTGTTATTGTTAAATTATATCGTTCTTTGATATTTAATAATTTAATAACTTTTTATGATGCTCAAAAAACTTAATTAGGGGGTCTGACAGGGTAAAATGGTGAAATTTATCCTCAAATTGATCTTTTACGAGAAACTCTTCAAGTTTTAACTTTCAAATTACTTCATAGGCTTTTTAAACGATTTTGCTAACTTTTTGAGTTATATAGAAGCTTTATTAAAACTGCAACAGATTGGGATAATTTTAAGGGTGCAATTTTTAAAAATTAGGTAATCTTTTGCCCTGAAGTTTTTTCAGAATTTTAGAAGCAGATCATTGAAAACGATTAAAGCTCATTTTTAAGATTAATTTGTACTGTGAGTTTGTGTTTTTGATGGCGTTTTTTTTTNTCGAAAAATATTTGATATATTAATTGATAATTCAAAACTCGAATTGAGTATTATTATTTTTATAGTAAATTTGTGCAGTGTATTTACACACTGTCTATTTCAGGTTTGTTTTTATTCTATCGTTCTTTGATATTTAATAATTTAATAACTTTTTATGATGCTCAAAAAACTTAGTTAGGAGGTCTGACAGGGTAAAATGGTGAAATTTATCCTCAAATTGATCTTTTACGAGAAACTCTTCAAGTTTTAACTTTCAAATTACTTCATAGGCTTTTTAAACGATTTTGCTAACTTTTTGAGTTATATAGAAGCTTTATTAAAACTGCAACAGATTGGGATAATTTTAAGGGTGCAATTTTTAAAAATTAGGTAATCTTTTGCCCTGAAGTTTTTTCAGAATTTTAGAAGCAGATCATTGAAAACGATTAAAGCTCATTTTTAAGATTAATTTGTACTGTGAGTTTGTGTTTTTGATGGCGTTTTTTTTTATCATTTGGTTCTGTTTGGTCCATTTATATTTTTCTTTTTAGNAAGCCAACGAAAAATAAACAAGTACTTTGTTTCATCACTTTATAGTTACTAGGCGCATAGTATGTTCTCTAGCGATTCACATTGAATGAATGAAATCCTCTAATACCTGTATAGAAGACTATTTATGTATGCCTAAACTCGGTAATTACACGAGCGCTTTCTTATGATTAAATTATTTTACATATTTTAGCGAAAATAATTCCGAAAGGTACCTATTTGATACCACACTCAAAACCGTTAACACTATCAGATTCTGCATACATTTTTATAAAAACTTCTTAAAGTTTAGTAAATAGCTTCCATCTTGGAATAATTTCACAAGCGCTTTTTTATTTTTAAAGTATTTACACATTTTAGCGAAAATATTGTCGAAAAGTGTCTATTTGATTCCGCACTCGAAAACCGTTGGCACCATGAGATTGTACGTGATTTTTTATACAATTATCAGTTAAAAATTCTTAGTTAATACGTTTCATCTCCCAGACATTTTACGAGCGCTTTTTTATGTTTAAGTCATTTTATATATTTTAGCGAAAATAATGCCGAAAAGTATCTATTTGACTCCGCACTCAAAAACCGTTGGCACCATGAGACACTTCGTGCTTTTTTATATAAATATCACTTTTGAAAGCTTAGTTAATACCTTCCTTCTTGAAATAATTTTACGAGCGCTTTTTTTATTTAAATTATTTTACACATTTTATGCCGGAATGTACCTATTTCACACCGCACTCGAAAATACTTGAAACTATGAGATTCTACGTGATTGTTTATGTAATTATAACTTCAAAATTCTTAGTTAATACGTTCCATCTCCCAGAAATTTTACGAGCGCTTTTTTATGGGTCATTTTACATATTTTAGCGAAAACAATGCCGAAAGGCACTTATTTGATATCGCACTCAAAAACCGTTAACACCATGTGATTCTACGTACATTTTTACGTAATGATCACTACTTAAAGCTTAGTTAATACCTTCCATCTTGGAATAGTTTCACGAGCGCTTTTTTATGTTAAGTCATTTTACATATTTTACCGAAAATAATGCCGGAAGGTACATATTTGACATCGCATTCAAAAACCGATAGCACCATGAGATTCTACGTACATTTTTACGTAATGATCACTTTTTAAAGCTTAGTTAATATTTTCCATCTTGCAATAGTTTCACGAGCGCTTTTTTAAGTTTAAGTCATTTTACACATTTTAGCGAAAATAATGCCGGAAAGTAGCTACATGACATAAAACTAAAAAAATATCTATTGCATTGTCCAAATCGAAAGCTTTCGCGATTTTATTCTCGATTATTAAATTACTTGGGCAAGAAAATTTCTGTATTCGCGGTTCCAAAACTAACGATACATATTAAGTATCGCCTTTTAGAATGATAAGTGTTTATTGTGTAGATGAGGAGTTAGTTGTATCAAAATGTCTTTAATTAAATAATTTTGTTTATCTGAAACCGAAAGTTCTTTGATAAAATCCGCCTCAGACGCCGCTTGCTTACACGTATCACCATGACTTTTAATAAAAACCACTTAGGCCGATTACTAAATAATACATGCTATATCACTGTGGATTCATTTTCAGGAGTTTATGGTATCGTGGGGTTTATATGGAACAATGTGGCCCATCCTTGACTCATCAAAAATAGGCTAACCGTGTCCTTATTTTATTTTTAAAGTTTTATAGACTTTATAATTTAGCTGGAATTTCTCATTGCTGTCAGCTTTAATTACTTTGCAAATTTG